AGAAAGTAGTGCAAATAGTACAGATATTTGTTTGACATTGTTACTGAACACAATAAAATTGGTCATAGCAATAAAGTAATTGGTACTACTAGAGCCCCCACTCACTGATGGCTCAAATCAAGTATAGGACAAGTTAAAAAAAAACAAGTCTCTTCGAACTAATGACTAATGACAAATTCCATGTGCCCAACCCAGAAATTATCACTAAAACAGGCATGTAGTGTAAATTGAAAGTAAGTATAATGTTAAAGCTTTTTTTTCTACTGTAACAGTTAAAACCCCTTTCCGTTGTTCTTTGCATCTTAGACAGCTGTCATCAGAATATCCCTTTTGTAAGATTTTCCCCCTCTTCCTGTTCATATGACATCTCAAAATATTGTTGTTTACCTCACTTTCAGTCCCAGTGACAGTGGTACCAAGGAAAAATGAGAGAATAAATCTCCCTTACAGGGACATCAACAGCAATAAAACCTTGCAAGCATTCTAACCCCTCACCAATGTTTTCAAAACTAAACAAAATAATAAAGTAGTGCACAAATGACGTTATATAAATCCTGAATAATTATAATAATAATACTTTTAGATACATTTTAACTTTTCCTTCATATCCTTTAGTACATACAGTGATCTAGTGAGTTTTCCTTAAAAAGCTACTACTCCATGAAGTTTAAGCATATGTGCGTGTGATTTTCACACAGCAAAACGTATTTATCAACCATGTGTATATATACACATTATGTGTATATATACACATTATCTATATCTATCAGTAGATGGCTAATCCATTGCCCCATAGTCACATTCCAGGCTAGCCCTGCAATGTCCAGTAGAGTAGGGTCTAGGTATGGCACACCAAAGTCAATCTGAGGAAAGGCTGACCTGGATAACTGCATATTGAGAAGAAAGTAGCAGGAATCTTAAATTAAGAAAAAATGGTAGCTAGAAAAAAAGGTTAGACTTATCTCAGCAAAATAGGGAACGTCCATCCTCCTATGGAGGCCTCTAGTTTGTAACCTGTACAAAAGCTAATTTGGGGGGATTCTGACCCCCTAGATTATCAAAAATTGTACTTAATTTAATCTAGAACAGACCACTGGTGTTTTCCATGGTTACACAAGAGATGTAATGACTAAGTTCATAGTCAATTAGAAATAAAGCATGTAAAACCTTGTACAATTAAAGCAGCTTTTATCTAAATACTGGATAGACATTCCTATGGATCTATTGTTATTATGGTCTTAATATCTAAATTCCTTCTTTCCACTTAACCAATCCAAGTTTAATCATTAGGAGTTTTGAAATAAATACCATACTGGCATTAGATTCAAAGGAAGAATTTCAAAATGTCTAATTAGTCTATACGGTATGCAACTGCTCATTTCCCAGCAGTTACCTTAACAAGATTGAATAGGTGCCCATTGTGCAATTTTTTGGCACACAAACTGAGTAAGTTCAGCTTATCTATGCTTCTACTCAGAAAGAAATGTTATACAGCTTGCCATTTTACAACCCCAATTCCCAAAAAGTTGGGACGCTGTGTAAAGTCTACATAAAAACAGAATGCAATGATTTGCAGGTCTCATAAACACGCATTTTATTCACAATAGAAAATAGAAAACATATTAAATGTTTAAACTGAGAAAATGTACCATTTAAAAAAAAAGGTCATTTTGAAACTGATGGCAGCAACTACGTATGTTCAGATACCAGTGCCGATACTTGCCATTTTCACGAGAACTACCAGGTTTGCTGTCCTTCAATGACAGGCCATCGTCCTCGAGGACACTGGGCTGTCATTAAATGACAACAGCTGGGCGGAGCCAGCCATGATATCACGGCTGTACTCTGCCTATTTGTTTTGATTTGTCAATCTGCGGCGGGAGTTAGACTATTTTTTATTTATAATTTTTTTTCTTTTGCCAACTACGCTGGACTCGTCAAAAATATATATATATATATTTT